TCAGTCTTGGTGTCATCATCGAGCTAGGATCCAAGAGCCTCCAGTTCGTTAATGCACCCCATCATCTGCATGACGTGGTCATGAACCGACTGTCTCTCAATCATCCTCAGGTCATCAACAGTTTGAGGACCTTCTGTCGGGTAGAACGATTTTGCTTCTCATACATAGTCTTTAGACTATCCAGAGTGTCTTTGCAGACTTTGGTCTTATCAAATTGTCTCAGGATTGCATTGTCTAAAGATGCTAAAATGTAACACTGGGCAAGAGAATTCTTCTCTTCCCTTTCCTGATATTCCCTCCTACGTGCCTTAGAAGCCCTGTCACCCAAATGTTCCGAAGTTGGGTTCTTGGCAACCTTGTCCAATTTGTCGGAGGTAAGGACCAAGGTTATAATACCGGTTAGCATAGTTAGGTCCCTTAAGTTTGTTGTCATCCAACAATTTAGTGAATTGTCTGTGTTCCATTTCTGATAAAAGGCAACAGATATTAGTCCACAACCTAAAATTGTTTCATGTTATCTTAAATAGAATGGTCTTTTATCTATGTTCTATCTCCATTTATTCATTTCTGAGATTTCCCTCCTATCTTAGTGATGAGGACACGATGCATGTCCCTAGAAATGTTGGAAATCACATAGGTGCATGGAGCCAATTGTTTCAGGTACAAAATCCCATGACTTTCTGTGAAGGATCAAGTATCCACCCATCTAATGAGCTTTCCCTTTGGCCTCCATCAGACAAGGTTCATTGCYATTTTATGTTAAACCTTTCTGTCTAGTAAGTGTTGACTCGTCATATCGTGGACCCCAAGATACCGTGAAAGAGTCTTCAATTTTAGGATAGCCTCTCCCACCTCAGAAAATGATGTCCCTATCATCTCATGAAGCAATCCAACCGACTAGACCAGCAAAATGGATAGCCCAATTTTATGGTGCATCTCCACCCACCGATTCAGCCTGCTTTCATGCTAATGACGGAAGGCCTTTACAGAATTCATCATATGATTTTCCCTAGGTCTGGTTTAGGTCATACCAAAGTGGCTCCCACTTACTTTCATAAAGTTATATTTGAATGGGCCCAAAATGGGCTAGGGTTCCGCGGGGTTCCTCTTGATGAGGAAGCTGATCAGGGGGCCCATTGAGAAGGGAGATCATCCAATGATCTGTGGACATCATGGCAATGATGTGCATTCAGCCATGATGTTCGCAGAGAACCACATACAATTAAACATGGGCCAAGCACTTATGGCCCATGAACGAATCGCATTTAGCACATAACAAGCATACACATAAATTGATCCAATCAATTAAAAGCTTGTAAAACCCTAATTAATTTAAGTTAACACACAATCAGCCCATTAAAAGCCCATGAATTATCCAATAATTTCATCTAGGTATATGGGCTAAACTGCAAAAGGCAGTTCGGCCATATAGCAGTTATGCTAAAATGGGCTGGTGTTGTTTTAACTTAACATAAATTAGGTTTTTCAAGTGAGGGTCGAATTGGTCCATGTGATGGGCCATCAAACCCTTGGCCCATAACCGAATTTGAGCCACCTAAAATGTGACCCATGGGGTTGAGATCAGACCCTATCAAACCATTGGTTCGGTCCAACTAGTTTGGACCAAACTAGGTCAAATCGGCGTAGGGTTTGGTGTCCAAAACATGCAACAATTCATGAAAATTCGATTTAAAATTTTTAACAACTGAATATTGACAATCAATCACAGAAAAAATAAATAATCTAGTGTTGCAAGTGTGATTGTCTGAATCTGATCCGAATGAACTGCAAACCTGCAAGAAAACTGGTTAATCATAGATTGCAGATTTTTTACAATAATCTTCCTTCTTCTTCTCTGTGCGTTCCAGCGTGTTTTCCAATGTAAAAAAAATAGAAAAACCTAATTTTCTATTAATTACATCAGAATAAATCTTAATACATTTTTCTAAAAAAAATTATTTACAAACCAATCATCAAATAAATAATTCACGTGTGCAGATCTTGGCGCCAATTAAAGAATTTGATCTCCATCACACAGACAGCCCAAGAAGCAAAGAAATAATAATAGAACAATTCTAAAATTATATCAGAATATAACAAAATTAATTTCATATCAAATCGCACAAAATATGAGAACTGATTTCTCAGAAAACTGTTAACTACGCAAATTGGCTAGGACAATTCTGCCAATTTGGGTTCAGTTTCAGATATGGTTTATTTCGGTTCAAGATTAAACCTAACTTTGATACCACTGAAGGAAACGGAAATCCATCATATGGATGGATGAATCATGCTAGATGGCTGGGCGAAATTTCAAAAATTTTCTTTCACCCTTCCGGGAATCGTATTCCTAGTTTTAGAAAAATTGCACTTTTCAATGATCGTTGCACCAAAACTGGACCAGATTTGGAATGAAAAGAAAGGAAGAATAATACTTGATACAGAGTCCATAAATTTAGCTCCCAAAGTGGTAGTTCATTCCCAAAGAGAGTTCCAAAACCAACTTTCACTGAATATGGCACAGCTTGAATTGAAGTCGGTTCATCAACACATTTTTCAGCAAAATTGTAATCCAACAGCTTGGATCGAGTAAGGGAGGTGAGCACGAATTGGTTTTGATATTTTCTTGCAAAAATCAGAAATCAAGACTGATCAATATATATATATATATATATATATATATATTGCAAAACAAATCTCAAACTCGATTGAAATCAATTGCCAGTAGTTTTGGTTTCCATCAGAGAGAATGCAGTCTCGATCATTCACTTTGTTCGACAAAGGGGTTGATCCTATCACTATGATCACCCATTCGAGTGAATTCTCAGATTGCCCCAACATACCTAGGTTTTGACCCCCGAAGGATCTCACTGATTAGCATATCAAAGATAGCTCAACCCGACACCAAGTGCAGTATTATAATCGAGTCTAGGGGTTATGTGTAACTTTACAGTTTTGTCTACCAGTCTCCAAGGTCTAGGGCATAATTAGAAAATGGTCTGGGTTCAGTGTTTCAAAAAATACACACTACATGTGCTTCGGGTCCAACCCTAGCAGTTGGGACAAGTTTCCCCAACCTTCTTGGCAGCACATTAGTGTTAGCCTTGGTAGGATAAACTTCCCCAAATCTATCCAATGGTTGAGAACATTCTAAATTAACACGAGTTTCATAAGTGTCCAGTTTAAGGGTAATTATATAGAAACAAACCAATTATAACATGAAATAATTATGTACTTTTATTCATATACAATAAATGGATGTGTACATCAATCTGATTGGAGCTAGGGGCATACACTGTCTAACATCCCTCGTAGGTGACGTCGGGAAATGTGTACATTGAGGGTGGAGCGAATTAACTAGGCATGTTTACAGTGTTGATGGAGGTTGAACCGACGTGATCATCATCGATGTCCACCACGTCGAGCTCCCTAGCTGGAGATCTTGGACTTGAAATCACCTCCGAAACCACCTCCGGACTGACTAGACACTACCTGCTTATGCGATTCGATCTTTGGGCGTGAAACCACCTCCGAACCAAATGGGTCGGAGATATTAGACGCACTTCGTGAGCCTCACGACAACTAGCCTATATAAAGGCACCCCCATTCACAAAAAAGGTACGCATGATTTATCACTCATAGCTTTCTAGTCGTCTCACTTTTTAGCTCTCTCAAAGCTCTTCATTGACTTAAGCATCAAAGTGCCAACCCCAGGTAAAACAACCCAAACATTGACATCTTTCTTTGCAGCTCAACTAGGCAACCTACTCAGCCCGACGTCTAAGCTATGTGCCAACAGGGAGCATCAGATCACGCACCATCAGCTTTCATTTTCACTTCTTGGATGCAAGTGGACTCTTATGGAAGTGGTGAATCTTTTCAATCAAATTTCTTCACCCCATCAAGAAAGACTGAAAGAGAGGCAATGTAATGTGTAGATACCCTAGGGTAACAATATTGTGGTCTATATAGGAAGAAAAGGACGAGAGATTGTTCAAAGACAAGATTCTACAATCATAGAAAGCATTAAAATGAAATCATCCATTTACTAAGCCATTATAGAGATTCATGAATGATTACAGGTGGGCATGGTGTACATTCTTTTTTTTTTAATATCTTTTGAAGGGCTACACAACAGGAAGTAGCCCATCCCCCAACCCAGGTGCCGGTGGGATTCAATCCCAAGTCTCCGACCTGCAGGAGACCTTACCAACCAGCTGGTCGACACCTTGCCTCAACACATGGTGTACATTCAGGCTTCAGCAATGGTATACTAATTTTCCCTAGGTCCGGATCACCTGCCAACCAAACATGTTCCAATCCTCTACCAACATAATCTTACATTGCACATCTCATTCATAGCAGGTCCCACTTTTATGATGAGTCCCAGTCTCATGATAAGATGTGCTGTGTAGGGTTGGAACGTGTTTTGTTGGCAGATCTCAACTCATTTTCCCTGTGTTTTTATCAAAACATGAAAATAATGCATACATGCGAGAGTTGACATTGCTGGTAGACCAATATGAGATGCATGAGAATATCCCATCAGATCCCATCCGAGTTATCAGTAAGCATTTATCTATGTCCACCTCACTTGTCCCAAATGAAGGTGCAGGGTATGCTAGCAATAGAGGAAGAATATTGCTTGTATATTGATGGCTTATACATACTCTCTGAATTGGGCTGCTAGTTCATATGTACTGATTCAACGTAATTGCAGCAGCAGGTCATAGGGTTAATGTCAAACAACCATAGGATACCGAATGGGAGGCAGTCATTTTGGGTCTTCAAGAAAGCAGGGAGAAGTGTTAAAGAGCTTGTTTTTTCTGATGTTTGTCTATTGTGAATATCATGAATTACATACAACTGGTAACAAAAGATGCACAGAGACACTGTAGTGGCTATTCAAAAGTTTCTTTTTTTTTTATTAATTCAATACTCAAAAGTATTTTGATAGCGGTAGAACATKTTAAATAGGCAGTAGAGCACTAGAGCTACTATATCAGAATACCCCTCAATGGAATTCCTGTAACATCTTTCAAGTAGATRATATAAGTTTCTTTGGCATTTGTAAGGAAAAAAAAAGAAAAGACACAATCTAACATGAATGAGGTAGGCACTAAGGTGACATGAACACTTGGTTCACTACTAGCAAGATACTATCAGAAGGATAAGAAAGGAAACAAAGTACTACATATCTAATACACATAGTTCTTTTATATATGTAAAATGCCCGTAAGTTCTTCTCCAGAAACAAAAAGCTASAAACTAAAATTGCATTCAACTTTTCTTAATTTTTGGATCATTTTCTTCTCTTCTTTATTTCTCACTATGCACGAGCGACCCTGTTGAGACTGACCATGCGGGCTGATGTGTCCATTTGCAATCCTCTTCCTGCAGCACCTGTCTGGTAAGATCTACCAACCCCTCCATATGCATCTTGATATCGTGTGCTCTGGAAGCCAACAGAATAGCCCCCTGTTCCTCGTGACTGACCTGATCTATCCTTCAAAAACACTCCACCAGAAGCCTGAGTGGAAGTAGATGGTCTCCCGCCAAGTCGGTAGCCTAAGCGCCCACTACTTTGCCTTCCCTGAGAAAAGTTCTCTTGCCACTTACTGGCTGCAGCCCCAGCATAATCCTGGCCCTCTCTACGCCTTGGGGGCAACCCATCCAGCCCTCCACCTGTCCTTGCTTCCAAAGCCCTCTCATTGCTCTCAGCAAGAACAGAAAGCTTCTCTGTCAACTGGAATACAAGGCTCTGCAGTCCTGTGTGCTCAACATTGTGGAAAACAATGCACCGAGTTGGCTGGTCCCAGCTTGCATGAAGCTCCTCCATGATCATCATCTTGCTCACAATGCTGTGGACAAGGTGGTCCGAGAGGTCAAAGATTGTTGTAAGCTGATCTAAGCTCAGGGAATCATAGGATGAAGCGTAAGTGAATAGGTAGGTCCTCAAGGCCTCTTCCTTTATCTTGGACATAAGCATCTCCAAAACATTTTCACGGTTCCTCAGGAGCTTCCAGACATCAAGGGATCTAACGACATCAAATGCCTTTTGGAAGTCTCCTTTGCCCAGGGCCCTGGTAGCAGCCATGACATGGTCTCGAACATTTTCAGGGGGGCCTGTGAACGTCTGTCTCTCACTCACCTCAAGCAATCTACGAAATGCCTTACTTATGACCTTGCGTTTGGCATCATGGGTATTAGCAGCCATATTAGGGACCTCCAAAAGCATGGCACTTATCAAATGGACAGCCTCTAGGAGCTCAAGATTTATATGCATGTGGTATGGCATTTGCCGCCTCCTTTCAAGCTTTTCCTGTAAATGCAAATTACAAGGTTGAGATTTCAGAATTGCAAACATACATCATTGAGTAAGAAAGCGACTACAAAATGGTATAACATACCTGCAGATACAGAGAAAACCACCTACTTAATTTTCTTTGCATGTGCCACTTAACAAGATTCCAATACAATAATTACATTGTTAACGAATTATGTGATTCCAGTCATACTATAGTTACATTTAGAAAACAAATCCAACAAACTACAAGCAACAGATGTAGCGTATCTCCTTGTTTACAGTAAATGACACTTTTCAGCCACCCATCCCTTATCAGTATTTGAGGCTAGAGGAAAATGATGATGATAATAATGATGACAGTGACAATGATAATTACCAGAAAGAAAAAGAGAAGAGAATAAAAGAATTTGAAAATAGAGTTTTACCCACTCATCCCATTTATCTTCCTAATACAAATGAAAAAAGAAAATTACAAAAACACCCTCATGACTAATTAATTATTTGTGGTTACTAGAGTGTAAAAACATCTCATGAGCTTCAACTTTCTCTTTCATGAAGTCACAATCTACTTTTATATGTTTCATGTGGTCATGTTGGATAGGATTGTATAATAGCTGTTAAGGCATCACCTAGGCGACTAGGCACCCTTTGCTTGGCACCTTGCCCAAATGCCTTGAATTATAGCAACTAGGCAACTAAGTGCCCACCTAGGCGACAAAAATGACAACGCAGGTGCCTTGTATAATATCATTTATATTGCTATATTGTTGTATCTTATTAATGTATGTGTTAATACATTTTATTATATGCTATATATATCATTTATACTTTGTTTTAATATTTTACCATTCAAATTAAAAAGATCAAAGGGTTTTGAGGAGAGAAAAAGAAAGAAAGAAAGAAAAAGAAAGAGGAAAGAAAAAATAGAAGTATAAAGAGGTTCTTTTCTTTATATTCTCTCCCTCTCTAATTAAATAAAACAGAAATTCCATCCTTGTTTTTTATTTTACTTTCCATCTTGCAAATTTATCATATAAAGTTAATAACCTTCTTTAGCTTCTAATTGATATGAAATTAAATTGTTATTATAGTTGTTTCAATGCTGCTACAGTAACTCGAACCAGGAAGAGAAGAAAGAAGAAGAGGAAGAAGAGAAGAAGAAGAAAGAAAATAAGGGTCTGTCCAAATCTGATGGACCTCCCATACAGTTGACCCCCTTAATCTTAATTAGATTCTAATAACCTTTACAAAGACTAAATTGCCCATACTTAAGTGTGGGGCA